GTAATGTAACTCCTTCGAAAATGATTTGCCATAAAGAGGCCCCAAACCTTTTGAGGTATCATTCGGAGAAATAAAGCAACTGCTGCATCAATCAGCAAAAGCTCTAGCAGTCTCGAACTTCTGTGAACATTAAACCTAACATAAAAGGAAAAATACCATGAGAGAAAAAAAGGCGAGTACTTCGTCGAAACATGGAAAAAATGAAATGTTTGCTTACTTCTGCTGAATGTGAAACTGAATAAGTGAACAAGCAGTTCGAACATCCAAGGAATATCAAGCTCTTGCAGCATACATCAGTAGCAACAAGAATAGCCATGTTCATTGATGCGAAAACGGTACAATTGCCTGCATCAACATGGCAATAGATTCAAAGGGGTTGGTAATTGTGGACAAAAAGGAATGTTCGCTGCAATATGTAAAGAAAAGTGCAAAAAATACCTAGTTTTTGATATCTAGATTGAGCTATATATATCATTATTAATAAACTATTACAGACATTTTTATAGTCAATATACAGGCTGCCAATCAAAAATCATAGTCATCCTGCATAGTTGCCTTTACCAACAATTGTATAGGCTCCACTTCAAGGTAGAAGTATCTATGCATGGATCTTAAAACATAAAACTAAGGCTTAACATCAAGTTTCAATATAATTGTATCACTTAACCATGGAAAAATCAAAAATATCAAACTACAATCTCAAGTCGCAAACCTTCAAAAGAGCTCGCTTGCTGCACTGGGCATGAAGCGTCCAAACATTTACTTTCAAGATTCGCAAGAGTGCACGAAATAATGCGCGAAAGTACTGCAATTGAATGTGCAGAAAACAAGTGTGCGACCTTGTACCATGGAATCACTCAATATGTAGTAAAGGTAAAGTTCCCTTAAACTTCTTCACTGCATTCTGCGAAGTCATTTGTAAGCAATTAGGATGAAAACATACTAAAGTTCATAAATTTACATTATGAAATCAAGGCAGCAACTCTATAAATAAAACTTTTATCCTCATATGTATTTACTGATGAATACTTATAAACTCTAAGTGGGGAATTCAAAACCAATCTTTCAGTTATTATTGATAATCAGACCACACTTTATGGTGAACCAAAAACAATGATTCTAAGTGGAGGATGAGGAGCTATGATAGAAAATTTACTGTAAGCTTGTAATTATATAATAAGAGGATGCCTGATAGGGTGGTCACTACGTTGGTTATTCACATTTTTTTACCATTCCCCATTTCATTTAAAATTCATACTGTACAATGACCTTTTACCCGCTTTGTTATAACAAATTCAATGAGATAAGTTTCGCTTGCAAAAAGAGGTCACGAGTAACTTCCCTCTCTTATCATAATTAAATGCCAGGATTAGTCTTTGAATTTTCCATACAAAAGATATGCATTGATGCTTTCTGCTAATAAAGCTACAATATATAATATTGTGAATTTACATTTTTCCATTGTACATTTTAAAATCATCTATGCTTTATAGAGAGAGAGTATGTAGTGTTAAAGTAATTATGGTATGGAGCCATTTTATTTTTTGGGTCATGCTCACAATAAACTATACTGTGACTTAAAAGAGAGATATATTTCCAGCATTAGTTTTAACTATCTGCGCATGGAATTGTTGAGATATTATATGACACACTTCAATCGCAGAAATCGGCTACACTAAAGAGATGATTCATAAGTCTCAGAGGCGGCGTAACACTGCTATTGGGTATCAACCGATTACCCTAAGGGATTTCCAAGGCATATCAAGTCATTTCAACATTGGCCAGGGAAGAGAGTAAATCATATTCAGCACACTGTTGCATATTCACCATAAATGCGTATATTCACCGATTGAGTATGCAGCCCAATAAGTATGAAAACACTTTATATATTGAGAATAGGGGTTAGTAAGACGATGAGGGATATGAGGTCATTAAGCATCAGGATTTGTCTGAGAGTGTCGAATTGAGTAGCACCACTATGTGAGGGTGAATATCTAGGGTGTAACTATAAACCAGGTCTCCATGACCACTGCAGTGAGATCCGTGAACATCCATGCAGACACCACCCACACGCACACCATTCGTAGATCAAGAGAGTAAATCGAGACACACACAACATCATACCTAGAGATTGGCAACTGGGCCATCTGTATAATAAATTGCTATTAATTCTATTTCCGATGCTTGGATGGCCATTCTAGTGTGTATGTTATAATAAACATACTCGAATAAATTGATTCTCAAAGCTTATGTGTCATTAATTGGTAGCATTTGTCATAATCATCTATGGCAGTATTCAGTTCCATTCTTCCAGCACGTTCAAGATAGAATAATTTCTATAGAGTAAATTATGTCTTCCATCAGCCATTCCCTGATTTGATTTTAGTCAAACCCACTTCTTGCGAAGCTTCTTTGCGGAAATTCATGCAGATAATGCTATATTGTTTCAGTAGAAAATACCAATTGTTGTCTTTTTTTCTTTGCAAGGTTGAGAGAGTCACATCAATATATTTATGTGAGCATTACATTGAGATATTTCTTTTTGATGTATGTTAGCTCATCTTCTAACTAGGTGAGACAAATGAAACATGGCTCAAGGTGAGAAGTACAATTAAATTTGACGAGACTACTCACACGAAAATTTATGTCACACATATTTGGTACAATTATCTATTGCGCACATCGAGTAACTCAGCTTCTTTCACAACTTCGCTCAAGACACATAAGAATGTAAGAAATAGAGAATCAAACGTAAGGCAGAAATGTGAAAAGGAGGATAATAGATAAATAATTGTTCATTATAGATAGGCACTGCATCTTGGGATTGTGCAAATTGGCTATAATTCCGTTAGCGATCGCCCCGGGTGGTTTGCATATAGGCACTGAAAATGACTGTTACTTACAATTTTATGTTATACCAACCTTTTCAAACATATTTACTAACTGAGCCTTTCATGGTTTTGGCTTGGCATATCTCGAAAATACCAACGGAGATAATGCCCTCATTCACATCTCAGCTAAGCCGACCATGAGTCAGGGAGTTGGCACTAAAGAAAACACGGTGCTAACTCTACTGTAAAAAGGTTACCTGGACATGGGATGATAAAAAGACAAATAGTCACCACAATATAGCTATCACACTATGCACAACTGTAGCTAAAGACCTTCATATGCGTTATGAAAAGTTATTGGCATTTTCTTACGTATAAATCACGTTGTACTGCTCAGTAGTTTAGTGATCGATCTGTCTGGCCATTGTCAATAAAACATTAAATAACTCTCAAATTAATAATCTATAAGCACATACATGGGACAGACGGACGAAATTATCTTCAAAAATCATCTCCTACCTTGCTGGACAGCGAGAATGCCCTACGTTGCTTGAAATAAAAATTTGATAATCTATATAAATAAAATTAAAGAAGGGACTTTTAATTAACGCTAGATGGAAATTATACTTATATTTGAGTAGGAGTGATATAATCTCTAAATCCTAGACAAATCCTAATATTTTATATGAGTTGTATTTCAATAACTAAAAGGGGATAAATATTTGTTGATATTAGCTGCTGACAATAATTTGAGCGAATTGTTAAAATGAAAAATAAATCTATCTGCGGAAAAATAAAGCGAGTTGTTAATAAGACCAAGCATAAAAATAACTCATCTCTTCGAGGAATATGTATTGATGATAATAATATAAGAAAAAGCGACATATTCGGATGAAA